CCTTAAACAGCTCAATAATAAAATGTGACCTTGGCCTCGCGCTTCTTCTGATCCCGTTAAACATTAAGCCACCGCCGCGAGCGCCCGCTGTCCGTTCTTTTATCTCTGTCAGTCTGTCAGTCAGTCTGTCTGTCAGTCTGTCAGAGCAGTGTCATGTGAAAGCCCCTGAGAACAGCGTTCCTCAATCAAAGTATGTTGTTGGATGTGAGGATGAGTTTAATGACAGCAAACACAAACAGTTTGGGGTCTACAAGCCCTACATCTTTTACAGAAGGAAGAAAGAACAATGCACTCATTTCCCATGAGCCCTGGCTGCGTCACCTTCGTCAGCATCCTGTAATGTCAGCGATTATCTGCCATTCCGTGGACAAGTTGGGTAGACAGGTGGCCTTTCCGCTTAAAACGATTGACAGAGAGAGACTTAGAGTCAGCTTTGGTCTGATCGTCTTTGATCACGGTGATCTGAACGCCCCCCGGTGACTCCAATGAGTGTAAAACGAGTCAAAGTTCAGAAACACAGAACACCCAACTGCCCATGAACGTCCCACACCCACTCCAATGCAGAAAATGCTCACCCTAACAGGCTGCAAACACTCAGTTTTATTGTTGTTAATTTATTAAAATGTTTCTTTCTTTTAGTAATATTTCAGTTTTATTGGATCAAAGTAAAAAAGTGACTGAACCTGTTTCTTGTGTTAGAGATATTGGAAGTATCTAGTTAATGGACACAGCAATCAACTATTCTGATATAAGGTTTAACAGTCTGTGATAAGTGACGGCCAAATGTGAGCGTTGTTGATTGGCGCTATGTTTTAACAATAGTTTTCTTGGTCATGGACTTGTAACTTAACTTTGTTGGGGTATTTTAAGCTTAGCTCAGCTTTAACCTTTCATTCTCTGCTGGTTAGAATACCCTAACATAAAATATGCCAGAGAAATGCAGCAGAGAGTGAAAAATGTGCCAACCAACCCCAGTCTCCATGACACTGTGTAGCCAAACTCAAAAACTGGAAAAAATCAAATTGAACATTATGCTCCTAATTAGGTTATTTGATGAACATGATCATTTATAATATGGAGTCATATCCCATGAAGTGTAATGGCAAATTTTATTGTTTAAATATTTGGCATTTAACCAAAATGACAAATTCTTACCATCATTTTCAATCAAAGGCGAACCAACAGGCTAACTTCATGGCCAATATTAAAGAAACAGCTATATTACAAATGAGCAATTTATGAATAATACTATAAATACTGGCTCCAACACAAGTGTTACAGATTAGACATCATATACCTCTGACCTTTTCCAAACAACAGAGAAGCATAAACATGCACAGTTTTATAGGATAACTTGTCTGTTTTGGCCTAGTTTGTGGGAAAAAAGTCATTTTGAAATAAACAGGTTGAAACTTTTAAAAACTGCAGTGGATGTACACAAATGACAAAAGTGAGAGATGAACAAAGAAGCGTTTAAAGAAGATTCGGTCCGGGACTTCAGGGGGCAAGAGGTGATCCCTGAGGGCTATGATAAGACCTGTGACTAATGGCATTTAAGCACGTGCTGCTCTCCCTCTCCATGTTCATCCTCCATGTTTTTTCTGAGACAAGCGTTGTTTCTCATACATTCTTTCCACAGTCTTACTGACATTATTACAGGAGGAACTGAATCACCTGGCATCACCTATTACTGGACCTTACCTTGATTTATCCTGGTGATGATCAACTGACTCCATTCTGTGTTTTTAATCCTGTCCAAGTTACAACCAGAAGAGCAAATGGGGCATTTGTGGTATCATAAACCAGCGGTTTCCAACCTTTCTTCGTAAGGCAAATCATTGAATAAACGGATTAAGGAACATATTTTAAATATTATATTCATTACATTATATTCAATGTATAATATAATATAACAACAGTACAGAACAGCTGATGAACTGTACAATGAACCCAAACAGTGACCACAATAACTGCAGGAAGTTTGTGTAAAGCCA